AGGTAGACCTAAATTAGATTACTGTTCCCAAATAGTTAAGGATATGGGTTGTTCTAGCTTTAGGGAAATGCGAAGGTTATCGCAGGATAGGAAAGGGTGGAGGTGCGTGTCCAACCAGTCTTAGGACTGACGACCTTATGATGATGATGATGAAACTTTGTAAGATGTCAGGTATTGTAATAATAAAAAACAGTAATCTTGCTGTTGTATAGCGGAAGAAAGACACTCCTGCAGCCGATTGAAGGCGCTTCGAGCGTCGTGACTCGCAGCGCTGGGAAGAGCACCAACACCCAATCTAGTTTTTTTGGCACTCCATTCAAGTGCAAAATATTACAAAATGTGATTCTAGTATTGTATTGTTGTTTATAATTAAAGTAGAAAATTAATTGGAAATATTAATTGTAATGTAATGCACATAATTAAAATTATTCTTCTTTACATCATACGACATAAAATGCAAACAATGTAATTTCGTTATTAACCCCTTTTTTGTTCTATACGGTTAATATTTTTTCATTAGCAATAAACGACTGACAATTATTAAATAAAAGGAATACAAACAATAATTTACAAGTGAATGCAAGCTAATTGGATTTTGTGTGGTGCTCATTTCAGCGCTGCAAGTCACTGTGTTTTTCCAGTTAGGTGTGTAATAAGTTTTAGCTAGTATAATATTTTATTGTTATTAGCTCTCCTACTATTGGTATGAAATTACGAAAGTGTTTTGGTAACTGCTTAGCTCTTGCAGGTCGAAGTGCAGCTTGCTCTAGGAGCCTGCTCTTTTACGATTGCGGATTTTCCTTTAATGACTTCTGGTTCGCGAATGTTAAGTGGAATATCAGTCTCTTCGATATTTTGATTTGCTCGATTCCTGAGATTTTTAATTAAGACTCCTAACTCAATGCTTTGTTAATTATTCTGAAATTCTGCTGTAAACGTTATTCTTTTTTCTAGCTGTTCTCCTGATGTTAGTTGTGGAACTATAGTTGACCGAAGCTGGTCGATATGACCTTTTATGTGTATCCGTCGTTCAATTTTACTGATTGCAAGTACTATAGATAACCTAATGTAACATTTTATCTCCGTGAAGTTTTAGAAAATATTGGCTCATCATTTTTTGTCTCTTCTAGAATAGACTCAAAATTGATTTTCGGCGTATAAATTCTGATAGTTTCTTCACATAATAGATGGATTTAATTAATTGCTTCATCGGTGTATGGTTTTATTTCTTTTTTAGATGGTGAGAACAGATAAATAGTTTGTGTTCGAGTTTTCGATCCCTTCTTGAATAGAACATTATCGCCGAACTCTGACAGGAAAATTGT